TAGTTAGCCTTTTAGACTGACTTTTTATTTCATTTTTTAAAAGCTGGTTAGCCATTATGTTACTAAATTAGATGAAATCGTACATAATTTTAGAAATTTAACATTAGTAAGGCAAAATTTTGAAAATCAATGTCCATCAGGGGAAGCCTTCCTTCAAAAGTCCTCTTGCTGTGTCACATATTAAAAAAAGTTAGTTTTTTTTGTTTAAACTAGTGGAAACCCCTTGACATGACTCATGTTAACAGTCAAGAAAAGTTTGTATAAGCATATTCTTCTACAATATTCCACAATATGTATATTCTAAACAACAGAGGCCTATTTTGTACTGTCAGAATATTACATCAGTGTACCTTGAACGCATGGGTCACCAGTTTGTACTGAATTTTTACAACTGTATTATACATTTCATTTATGTATATTTGATCACAGTACTCTACAGTAAACAGTTTTGTTCTTTTGAAATGTATAAGGGAGTGTAAGAACAACACAGTTGCTAACCTGATGCCGCCATCTGGTGAGTCTCCTCACAGGAGTTATTTCATATAAACCTGAACTACCACCTTGGTTTACACAGACACAAATGCACCTCAGTCACAATGTGAATACAAATGTGCTAAATCTTTAAAAACAATCAATAACCACTAAATAACCCTGACTGCATTGCTTCCTCAGCAGAGGAGCCCATGTGGCAACCAGGAAGTAGAGCCTAATGAGAACCATGATGCCACAGGTGCTTTAAATAACTCCAATTAGGGGCTGGGACATGGGAGGAGTGGACCCAGTTCTGTGGTGGTGTGTTCAAGAGCTATCAGGGAATCCTAAAGTTAGCTGGGCGCGAGTGCTGCTACGAAATAAAAAATTAAAATATTTGTCAAACTGGCCAATCTCAGGGTATCTGTGTAACTCTATCAGTAACATTCTTTGCCACCCACATCACGTCACTACTCCACACAGTGTTTTGTTGTGAACTGTTGTGCTAAAGTATTCACACATTGTCATTCTTTTCTTTTGGCCCTAAATAAACATCCAATTTTACAATCTTTAACTGTATTTTGGGGGAAAAAATGAGCACTACTGTTAGAATATGTCTGTCGTATAGCAGTAATTCATTACAGTGTAAACCTGAATGAACACTAATTCCAAACCACAGCCAGCTGCCTTCTGAGGTGTTTAACCTATATATAAACCCGGGGTTATAAACTACACACGACTGCAGATAGGAATCAGTTTTGGCACATGATCCTTTTTTGGCTTGACGCCCTTCTGTTGCCATCCTTGTTTTGTTGCAGGAATGGAGGCCCAACTTGGGAAACCAGTTAGAAAAAAAAAACTTCTTTATGTTGGAAAATAAAAATAGACTGAAAGATGCATCCTGCTGCTCGATAACTGGTAAAATAAATACATAAATAAATAATGCTCATATTATTTTGACTTTTCACAGACTGCAGAGATATTATAAGCTGGTTTGCAGGATTTTTATGTAGCTGGATGTTTGTGCTTGTAAGTTATATGGCTAGTTTTTACCTCAAAAGTACCAAAACTTTTTAAAGTGTATTCAACTTATTTTATCAAAAGAGCTGTATAGTTAGCTCCATGACCAACATCAGAACAGGTTGTGCAGGAAAACATAGAACTACCAATATCAGCATTGAAAGAAAGAAAATAAACTAAAATTCTTGCATGTAATAAATACATTTACAACAAAGAAAGATATCAAGTAAGTTTCTACATTTATACAGTGGCACTTGTTTATTCACATATCAAAAGCTTAAATGTGGCACTCACATCCAAAACACCATCTAATGTAAACACATGCAAGGCTGTTTGGAAGAAATTTCACACATACAACTATAAATAGCTTCTTCTTCTTCTTCTTCTTGAACTTCCTTTGGCTCCTCAGAACTAAACCGAGCCAGATTTGCATATAGCATTCTAAAAACAAGAGGGGTGTAATTGCTGTTTTTATGTGAATTTGTACAATGTGTTACAAAGGCACATATGTGGCTTTTCTCCAACCATTCTGGATAGCGATGTATCAGTGGAAAAGGCTTCAAACTAGAACATTTATCTATTTGTTGCAGATATAACATAGTGTCATATGCACCATACAGTTTATACAAACTAAGATATTGTTATTTCTGATCTAGTAGAACCACAGCGGGCTAAGATACTGGCTCTTCCCCTGCCTTGCTCTCTCTACGATATGGATTCTGCCTCAGAAACACAACCAAGTGAGATACAAAAAAACACTTTCTTAAGAACAGGGCCCTAGGCGATTAGATAGTTTGACTAAAGCATTGCCTGGAATGTAATTTGCTGGAAACTACTGTGTGAAATGATGTGACGAGTAAAAATCTATGCATGTACGCTGATGGGATTACAAGCTGACATTTCAAAAATGGTAAGCTTTTAACCTGTTGAACCCCGATTTTGCCTAAAAGTTTCTTTGGCAAAACTTTGTGCTTCGATTTGAAATACAGCAGTGAACACTTACGCTGTGCTTATCTGCACAACCTGCATTTGCAGTGATTGAGGGCAAATATAAGCATTTGATTGAACTGACATGATTCAATCTCAGTGAACACTCTATTTTAAAAATGTGAGTCATCCCTCGTTTTGAAATACCCCGAGGATGAAATTGTCTCTTTTTCTCCATCTTTGTGTCTGGACACAGGCACACAGAAACACACATATACACAGACACGCTGCCATTACCCCGGTCCCATCTGTGCTTTGTGCAGGCTACCTGGTCTGCTTTAGCCTAATCTTTTTAGTGTGTTTGCTGCAGGCAACAACAACCAAAAAAAGAAATCACAGGCGTCATTTCACTCCACTTACCAGTGAGACTACAAACTAGGAGAACGTTGCATTACTTTGCATGAGCTCACTTGAGTTATCTTTGACTTCCATCCATTCATTATCTATACACCGCTTAATCCTCACTAGGGTCGTGAGGGCTGGAGTCTATCCCAGCTGTCTTAGGGCAAAGGCAGGGGACACCCTGGACAGGTAGCCAGTCTATCGCAGGGATACACTCACATTCACACCTACAGACAATTTAGAATCACCAATTAACCTCAACATGTTTTTGGACTGTGCGGGAGGAAGCCGGAGACCCAAGCTGCACGGGGAGAACATGCAAACTCCACGCAGAAAGATCCTGGTGTCCCCACTGGGATGCGAACCGGCGACCTTCTAGCTGTGAGGTAACAGTGCTA